TATAAATATTCACTAATCCTAATTTCAAGCGTTTTGGTTGAATATTTACGATATACAAAAATAAACAACCCATTTCATGATGCTAGCAGACGTCCTAAAATTTGTTGATGATCTTCTCCATCGAAGAAGGTTTTATTCGTCATATTCCGATTAATATGACGAGAGAAAAACGAAAATAAAGATCGTGAATTCTGACAGCACTATTTCAATAAGTGCAAAGGTCACCGGATGTGATGTCACAGACAGGGGTAGTCTGCTGATAATCTTTCGTAACAAAACAATTACAGTACATTTTGAAATAGTTCGCCTATCACATACAGCGAAAACATAAGTCGATACACAGTATCAGTAATCGCCACTAACATGAAATAAAAATGTGACTTTGACGATATAATTCGCGTATTAGTTAATCCGTTTGACCTTGCATGCTCTCGTGACCCGGAAACGGTAGACGATAAATCAACATGCCACATGCAAGTTTCTCAGTATCTTTTATTTGAACTTCTGTTGATATTTAAGAATCACCATTCAATGTTGTGAATATAAATGGGACATGATTCATATTTCTGCGATGTACACGCTGATAAGTTTTACTACAACAAGTGTATCCCACGTAATACGTCTATGGATATCGTCGATCAGCAAGATCACCCTCTACAAAAGGTGCGCGAAAATTGGCTTGTCAAAACTTGTTTCAAAATAACATCTCCGCGTTGCTGAATATGATAGGGTATATATAAGAAATAAAATGCTCCGTACATATTTTCGGTGTTAGTTCCACATTACATTTGGGATAGTTTTCCTTTCGGGGATACATTCATAGACTCTAGCATGAATTTAGAGCAGTTTACGAAGGATTTCTAAATTTATTCCAAAAATATGAAGACCACCATGATTGCGTATTGATGATAGATTTGTAATTGTTTAATTATTTACAGCTGTTATCAGGTTTTAAAATTTTAAGTTATATTTAGTAGTTATTTTTTCCCCACAATGATTGTGTGTGTGGACAGTAAATATTGGTCTTTGCATCAGCACAGTGTAACTGATCAAACTTCAATTATTATCTTTAGTTTAAACATATTTCTTCAACAATTATTATCTTTCACTCTGAAAATCAACTATGTGAATAAGTAACTCTCTGATGTCATCATTTTAATTTTAGTATTCCATGAATAATGAATAGATCAGATCCTTAACATATATACATACATGTATTAAACTCATATGGACATTAATCTTGTGCATTATGTGTTTTGTTTCCAAATAAAATAATTCTGAAATATAATTTAATAGGAATATGATACATTAATTACAGTAACAGTACCTGTAACAGTACATGACATTTTTGTTTGTTTAATCACAAGAACCATGGTGGCACATAAGCTGGTAAGCTAGCCATATGTTTCTTAGAAAATGCTATCTCAGTCTTCTGGTTGGAATGAAAAGAAACATGCCTGTGTACATGTTTACCCTTGCCAGATGTATTTTTGTCCAGTCAGCCAATCCATTACTTTTGTTCACATTATGTGGTCTATTTTATACATACAGGTACTGCTTCCAACCTGTTTTTCCTTTGTATGCAATCACAGTATCACAACTTCCTCAGCTGGTGTGTATAAAAGTTCCCTTGAGTTCTTTCCTTGAATACTCTTTGTCTAAGTGATTTGGTACCCAAATGGGTATGTGATTTTGTAGATCTACCTAGAATTATTTCAAAGATATACATTAATTTTGGTGTCTTAAACTTAACATAATATTACTTTCCTATCAAAACAATACATTCTAACTTAGGTTTAACCAACTTAACTGGCCTCTTCTTCAGTGACAAGACGTCAATTTTCTCTCAAAACTAAACAATCAATTTCAAGGATCAGTCATAATCATATTTGGAACTTGATGAAATATTTTATTATGTGTTCTGTTCATCTACATGAAAACATAAATATAATTATAGATTATTGTCTTATTTTCTTAGGTACAGATTCACAAAGTATTTTGGGTACAATTTAATTTGTTTTGGTACAAAATCACATATATAGGAGCCTAGAATCTATATATATTCCACTACCTCGTGGTGTACCAAAATTTTAATCAGTTCAGAGGACGGGAGGTTCTCAGAAAGTTTTCAACAACATCTTTAATATTTTAAATTGTTCTTTTTGTAATGTTAGACCAATAATAATATTATGTTGTTATTATTATTGCATATCAATACGTTATATCGCTGTCCGTTGCGGTCGTTTTCAGAAAACATTTTAAAGTTAAAATCATTGAGCGTGAAATCCATTACGGTTTCGGATTTAGACTTACACATTTGATGGCGACAATCACCAAGAAATATGAAACAAATAGGAGTGAAGACTGCTCTCCAGATCAATAAATAGTAAATAGTTGACGAAAAATAGTAAATTATGTATTTTCTTTTGAATTTGAATCTATTTCGGAATTTCTTTATGATAGCTTACCAACTTTTGCATATTTTTCCGTCATGTGTCACATGCGGTACGTGCTTCCGGTTTCAGAAATGATAGCTAAAATTGCAAGTATATTGGTTTATTTCTCGTAAACTGCATTATTTTGCTATTGAATGGTTTACCTAGAATGTATATCAGTTCAGATTTTGCGTATCATCCAATATTTGTCATTTTTCGCAGTTTGTTGACTTTGTTCAAGTCAACAAATCGCGAGTTAGGCCACGCCCAAACGTATCACTGACGTTTGTCGGCTTGTCAATGTGTCCGAAAGTTTATCAAACCAAATCATTTGCAAACTCTTTAAAAATGATTTTTTTTTTACAAAGATTTATACATACGTGTCAATTATTCTAGAAATTTAAGTTAGATGTAACAAAATGATTGTAATAGTCTAACGGGATAACTATGCATGTGGAGTTGTTTGTTTACCGCCGTTGCCATGATCGTACAAGTTCCATCCAATCGATGATGTTACGATTCAGATTGTTTTTGTTTACAATTAGTTGCTAATTTTAGAAAGTTGCTAATTTTTAGAAATTAAGGAACATGAGTGTTTTCCTTTCGTCAGCAAACAAAAAATTATGATCGAATAGGAAAAATGATGAAATTATAAAGAAAATATCGGACTGCATGCCGCTCAACATGAAGTGCAAAAAGTCAACAATGGCCGTTTCAGGTAGTTGTGTGCTGAGAAGTTTGGCCGAAACTTTTTTAACTCGCGATATTTTCTTTTTGAGGTAAATAAATGACTGAAAGTTTTGATATTGAGCAAGCTGAGCATTTATGCATGTCATACGTAATTTAAATGTTACGCAAAGCCTTCTTGTTAAATAGATATGGCGAGTTTTATTTTGGGGTGTCGTTATGCTATTCGCCTGTCGAATGGGTTCGACATTAGATGCACGGGAAGTGACACCTCTGTCGAATGGGTTCGACGTTAGCATGCAGAGCTTTAAGACACATTGTGATCTAATGTACCCATGCTATGATGTATCTGGTCACTGTACACAGTCTATCTGACCACTTGACCCATGTCTAGAGAAAGACTTCAACCAGAAACAGCACAAACCACCCTTAAGACACATGTGATCTAAATGTACCCATGCACAGGTCATTGTATCGAACAGTGTGGACAAGTCAGTCAGGCCATTGTTTTCATAGTGTGGACCAAACAGATTCATGGTCTCTGGGCAAAGTTACCATGGTTACTGTCAAAACCTGCTATTTCCAAACTATGGTCAATGGCCACTTCACTAACCCACCACAAATTATAAATATTCAAATTATCTGAACATATAACACACGGGGAATGACTAACAATAGCATGCTTGCCTTTTGAACAAACTTTCGGCTGACAATATTACAGCGATCATCCGAGTTTCAGCTTCCCTGTGGTTTTTTTCTGAGAAATAGTCAAAACAACCCAAATTCACACTAGATACACTTATGGTGCAGCTATGGATTACAGAATGCAGTTCGTTCACAATTAGAGGTCAGACTCGCTGATTCAGTTGATGAATGTCATTTCATCCTACATGCAAAAGGTTAATTGATGGTCATGATTTCAATCACTAGATTGTCTGGTCCATACCCGATATTTACCGACTGTTGTCATTTAGCTGGAATACTGCTGAATGAGGTGGTAAACAACAAACAAACACAACTGGCATGTAGCTTTGAGCCACATAACACTGCAGCTTCCTCAGCCCTGTAGTTTCTTGGATGAGTTGAAAAAGTTAACTTTAATTTAGGTAAAAATCAATTTAAAAAAATAAGTTACATTATAAGTCCCATTGTATATTGTACATCATAGCAAAGTCTTTCAGTCTGTGGTCTCTGAGAAAGAAAGTTTGAAAGTTTTTTTATAGATTTTTTACCATTTTTTTAAGGAAGTGATTATTTTTTTCATTCTTCAAGCAGGAACAGGTCTGAGTCACAATGTGTTTCTATGTAGCATATCAAGTGTACTGCTTGCCGTGCCAAGCAGATTTTCAGAAGAAGTTTTTAAAGATTACACATAATTTTACTGAGGCAAAGTTACAGTCAAAACGTGCTAGATTCTATTTACATACTAAAGTCAGTGGCCACTTCAAATATATTTAAATCATCTGAACAAATAAGACATGGGTAATGCCATTTAAGCCAAACGATACTTTGGAAAGAGAGCATTTGAACCAACTTTAGGCTGACATAAGATAGATCAGGCGAGTTTCAGCTTCCCTGTGTTTGTTTTCTGAGAAATAGTCAAAACAACCCAAATTCACACTGGATACACTTACGGCGCATCTGTGTTTACAAGAATTCTGTTGATTCGCAATTAGCGGTCATAATATTAACGAACATTGCTCCGTTATTTCCTGAGAGGAGGGAGGATTGACACCAAGGGCCATGTCTTGCCTCGGCCGCACCCAACACAACAGTGCCTGTTGGTGCAGTCGAATGCAAGTCTCGCTAGGTCCGTGTCTACAACTTAATCTATACATTCAAAATATATTTTAAAAATATGAACAGTGAAGATACTACCTTATCTTTCGACGGGCTGGTAAGGTATCCGATGACACATCATATTTTGCTTATAAAACAGCAAACACCATCACGATCAGTTCTAAAAATCACTTCCTGGCCGCCATGTTCTGATTCAAGAAAGTTCAAGGTCGTGTTGGATGGCACTGCTTGCGCTGGCCGCTGAACCAGAGGGGACATGGACGAAAGCTTGGTCCCGTCTCTAAGTATCGGGCGCAACAATAGCGTGGAACTAGTCTTCCTCCAAAACTCTATTACTTTGCATGCTACCCGCGGTATGGATAACGTATTGAATGAGTAGGGAACGATACATCGATGTGAGGAGCTTATTAAAACTGGTACCAAGAACTCGTTGCGCCACACACAGAAGGAAACCAGTCCGGTTGAAATCTCCTGCAGCAAATCTATCTTTCACAGACGGAATGAATATGCTGATGTCAGAGCTAAAAACATGACGTCATTACCTTTGTCCTTGCGTGTTAGAAAACTTGGCAGTGACTCAGCTAACAGTGGCATCAAGTCAAATCTCAGCTTGGCCTGAAAACCAGTAAACTTTAAAGAAATATATTCAGTCAAAAGGCCCCTGTTTCATTGACTCGCTTTGCCGGATTTGCACTTATATACCATAATTACAATACCTTTACAGGAAGAATATTATTTATATTAGAAGATTTATGTTACAAAAAAAATTACCTTTATAGTCTAATGCTAAAAGGTTCTGCATAATGTAGAGAAATTCTACCATATGACAAAACGTGACTTGTGATGGCGGGTGTGAACAGAAATTGAAAAGACAACAGAAGTAAGCCAAAAAATATTGACCCTGTTCAGAATTAGAAACTTTTTCTTCTTCACATCCGACTTTAAATACTTATGAAGGTTCTTGATATGAATGAAAGTGTCCAAAGAGTTTTGGTTTACTATAAATCTACTGCACAAAGCTTAATGTGTTTCTCAGTGTAGCAGAGATTTCCTAAAAGGGATATATCAGTTGGTGATATATTGGCTTGGTCGGTCAGTTTGGTTGTTTTGTTGTTTACGCCGCACTCAGCAATATTCCAGCAATAAGACGGCGGTCTGTAAATAATCGAGTCTCGACCAGACAATCCAGTGAGTGAGTGAGTATGGTTTTACGCCACTTTTAGCAATATTCCAGCAATATCACGGCGAGGGACACCACAAATGGGCTTCATACAATGTACCCCTGTCGGGAATCGAGCCCGAGTCTTCGGCGTATTGAGCGAACGCTTTAACCACTAGGCTACCCGACCGCCCCTCCAGACAATCCAGTGATTAATGTAGTGAGCATCGATCCACGCAATTGGGATACGATGACATGCATCAGCCATGTCATTGAGTCTGCCCGATCCCGTTTGTCGCCTCTTATGACAAGCATAAGATTGAAAAGTATTCATATTTTTGGGTTATTACAATTATTGAGAGCTGTTTCATTTGTTTGACGTTGACTCTGGTTGCATGAATAGATGCAAAGGTAACTGGCTCGTTGCTGGTCCATCCATCACTGGATTGTTTGGTTTGTTCAGAGGCCGCCGTCGCACGGCAGGAGCACTAAACTTTGATCCGTCTATAGAAGATTTATAATTTAGTCAAAACTGGTTTACTTTCACTCTCTGCGCGACATTTGAAACGTTAAAATGACATCTCGACCACTGATAGGAATAAGCTGGTTCCTGTCTCCCTTTGCGTGTCGTCAACTTATTGTGATATTAGAGACGGGGCCCAGCTTATGGTAGGAAGACCTTCAACCGAGTTGAAACCTGTGACGTCAGAACTGGCGATGATGACGTCAGAACTGGCGATGATGACGTCATGCCCTTTGTACTTGAACTCTGTGGCCTTGGTCCTGGTACAGCTGACAGTGACGCTTTATGTGGTCAAATTTCAGTTTGATTTCGGCCAGACAACTGGTCAACTTGAGAGGACGTTTGTGGCCTAATGCGTCAGTTTGTGTGACTTGTTTTGGAATTAAAGAAGTGCCCTAATTTTACTCCTAGTTTACACGTATTAATACGGACAAGGAACGTGTTTAAACATGAGTCACAAAGAAAGAGTTTACCTTGATAAAAAAATAACGTCACGTGACCTCCGCCATAATGGCTGAAGCGACAGAGGCGATTGAGACAACAGTGACGGGAATAATAAAATATCCTGTGGGTTTCAAATTTAGAACACTGGTACATATAGGCTACTTTGTCTTAAGTAGAAATTATTTTTCCGGTGTTTAAAGTATTTGTTTCCCCAAATTAACAAACAATAAAGTGGAATAAAGATTGAGGTAAATGCGTGTAATTGTTGTCGTCACCCCAGGAGTAAAACACACAATAAACTCGTGACTCCATATTTACCGCCATATTCTGCAAGCCAATACTGGTGCAGACTCTGTGTATTGAATATTTATTGTTTACATCCATAACCTGGATTCAAGTGATGTCTCTATTACAAAGGTTTGTGTGTATACAAGGTTAAACTGAAAGAGTGGTGCCCATAGTGGCCTTGTTGGCTCACCAACAACAAATAATTTAAATTAATGATTTTAAAACTGAACAGTTTTTAAATTTCTCCTGAAAATAAATCTACAAAACAATAAACTTGTTGTGGCTTGAAGGAGGAAATGGAGCTCACGGCCATAGAGGCAGTTCTCTTGGTCACACACACACGCACGCACGCACGCACGCACGCACGCACGTGGAGCTCACGGCCAGAGTGGCAGTTCTCTTGGTCACACACGCACGCACGCACGCACGCACGCACGTGGAGCTCACGGCCAGAGTGGCAGTTCTCTTGGTCACACACGCACGCACGCACGCACGCACGCACATGGAGCTCACGGCCAGAGTGGCAGTTATCTTGGTCTAACACGCACGCACGCACGCACGCACGCACGCACGCACATGGAGCTCATGGCCATAGAGGCAGTTCTCTTGGTCACACACGCACGCACGCACGCACGCACGCACGCACGCACATGGAGCTCACGGCCATAGAGGCAGTTCTCTTGGTCACACACGCACGCACGCACGCACGCACGCACGCACGTGGAGCTCACGGCCAGAGTGGCAGTTCTCTTGATCACACACGCACGCACGCACGCACGCACGCACGCACGCACGTGGAGCTCACGGCCAGAGTGGCAGTTCTCTTGGTCACACACACACGCACGCACGCACGTGGAGCTCACGGCCAGAGTGGCAGTTCTCTTGGTCACACACACACGCACGCACGCACGCACGTGGAGCTCACGGCCAGAGTGGCAGATCTCTTGGTCACACACACACGCACGCACGCACGCACGTGGAGCTCACGGCCAGAGTGGCAGTTCTCTTGGTCACACACGCACGCACGCACGTGGAGCTCACGGCCAGAGTGGCAGATCTCTTGGTCACACACGCACGCATCCACATGGATGGATGGATGGATGGATGAGTGGGTGGGTGGATGGATGAGTGGGTGGTTGGATGGATGAGTGGGTGGTTGGATGGATGAGTGGGTGGTTGGATGGATGAGTGGGTGGTTGGATGGACGAGTGGGTGGTTGGATGGATGAGTGAATGGATTGATGAGCGGGTGGATGCATGGATGGATGAGTGGGTGGTGGATGGATGAGTGGGTGGATGGATGATTGGGTGGATGGATGATTGGGTGGATGGATGGATGAGTGGGTGGGTGGATGGATGGATGAGTGGATGGATTGATGATTGGGTGGATACATGGATGAATGAGTGGGAGGATGGATGGATGGATGGATGAGTGGGTAGATGGATGGATGGATGAGTGGGTGGATGGATGGATGGATGAGTGGGTGGATGGATGGATGAGTGGGTGGATTGATGATTGGGTGGATCCATTGATGGATTAGTGGGTGGATGGATGGATGGATGGATGAGTGGGTGGATGGATGGAAGGATGATTGGGTGGATGGATGGATGGATGGATCGATCGATGAGTGGGTGAGTAGGTAGATCGATGGGTCAGTGGGTGGGTGGATTGATGATTGGGTGGATGCATGGATGGATGGGTGGGTGGATGAATGTATGAGTTGATGGAGGGATGGATGAGAAGGGCGGATGGATGGATGAGTGGGTTGATGGATGGATGAGTGGAAGGATAGATGATTGGGTGGAAGGATGGATGATTGGGTGGATGGATGGATGAGTGGATGGATTGATGGATGAGTGGATGGATGGATGATTGGGTGGATAGCTGGATGATTGGGTGGAAGGATGGATGAGTGGGTGGATGGATGGATGAGTGGGTGGATTGATGGATGAGTGGATGGATGGATGGATGAGGGAGTGGATTGATGATTGGGTGGATCGATGGATAAGTGAGTGGATGGATGGATGAGTGAGTGGATGGATGGATGGATGATTGGGTGGATGGATGGTTGATTGGGTGGATGCATGGATGGATGAGTGAGTGGATGGATGGATGGATGAGTGAGTGGATGGATGGATGGATGGATGGATGGATGGATGGATAAGTGGATGGATGGATGATTGGGTGGATGGATGGATGGATGGATGATTGGGTGGATGCATAGATGGATGAGTGGGTGGATGGATGGATGGATGAGTGGATCGATGAGTTGATTGATAGATGATGGATGAGTGGGTGGATGGATGGATGAGTGGGTGGATGCATGGATGGATGAATAGATGGATGCATGGATGGATCAATGGGTGGATGGATGGATGGATGGATGAGTGAATGGATGGTGGATGAGTGGTTCGATGGATTGATGGATGAGTGGGTGGATTGATGAGTGGGTGGATGCATGGATGGATGAGTGGATGGATAGATGGATGAGTGGGTGGATGGATGGATGAGTGGGTGGATGGATGGATCGATGAGTGGATGGATGAGTGGGTGGGTGGTTGGATGGATGAGTGGGTGGATGTATCACCATGTTTCACCATGTTTCACCATGCATCACCATGCATCACCATGTATTTCATGTATCACCATGCATTTCATGTATCATCATGTATCACCATGCATCACCATGTATCACCATGCATTTCATGTATCACCATGTATCACCATGTATTTAATGTATCACCATGCACCACCATGTATCACCATATATTTCAGGTATCACCATGTATCACCATGTATTTCATGTATCACTATGCATCACCATGTATTTCATGTATCATCATGTATTTCATGTATCACC